TTTTCAGTTTAATTGATGTGAGTTTCTGTTAACATTATTATTTTTGTGTGAATTGACTGCAGTGTTTTTACCCAAGCGCACGAACTTTGGTTTAAAAGTATAATATAACAGCAAATGTCGCACTGGGGTGAAACACAGCAGCGCTAATTAATAGCCTCTGTAAATTTTACAGAAACCTAAATAAAAGTGTTGTGCCTGAATGGACACGCTGCTTCATTCCTGAAGTGCAACACTGACAACAGGAAACCGAGACAAACTTCCTGCAGAGGGCCTTATCTCTCACCAGACCAGCTGCTGTCTGGTATATCTACTGTACACAGTACATCTTCCAGTTGATCTCATTTCTGGTGTCATTGTGGTGTCAAACTACATCAGGAACCTGCCTGTGTCCCTGGCTGTCAGACTCTGAGATGTTCCAGACTTGCTGTGATCAGTTCAATTAAGGAAGGACCTTCTGTGAAGAGGTACCTGTAGGGTGAGGGTGTTTAAAACCCTTTAGTGATCCAGGCACCCAGAGCCAATTTCCACCTGGAATATTCTCCCCTCAACATAACAGAGGCCTGGTTCATGTCTTACACTGAAGCGAACCCCTGGGGCATTAAGTGTAAACGATCACATTTCTTTTATCTCTTAAGTTGTCCTCTCAACTGACAAATATATACAGAAAAAAAACAGCAGGCAAAATTTTGTTTTTCCGTCTTCAAAGATCAATTTTTCAGAAGCTGGTGTTCAAATGAAACAATCAAGAATTCTGCAGCAGAATTCATTACTTCTCTTGCCTTCAATTGCTAAGATAACAAACTTTATTTCACTGGGATCAACAGCATCCAAGAACTGAATGCCTTGTAAATGCCTGGAATTCTTGGTGAGACAGGTTGACCTGCTTGGTCAGTGGGCAGCCTCCTGCCCACAGCATGAGGAGACTCGAACCCCATTCAGAAGGAGACAAGCTGTAGGGCAGAGCTGGGTGACTGACTTGTTTATCCCTCCTGATCTTCAGTTACTGGAAAAGCTTCCAGTAAGGGTATCAGTTGAGTGAAATTGTAAATACTCAACCTCTTTACAATGCTCACATGTATTTTATCATCTAACATACAGTAACTGTGTCAATAAAATCCTTTCCTAGATTGTTCCAAAACATGCTTGCATTTTTACCACAGATGTTAAAACACCCTTCAGTTTTCTCCTGCTCTGTCTCTGTCCTCCATTACTGCTGTATAAAGGATAACTGCTAGAACTCAGGACTGAGACTGAGATACTCACAGTATTTATACATCATTTATACATCAGATGAACAGCACAGCAGATCACACAGAGGGATTCGCAGGGCACGGCCACCAAGCGAAGATCTTTCACAACACGGTAGCTTTTAGCTGGAATTCAAGACATTGAAAAACAAGCAAATGGTAGCAGATCTGAGCAATGTGATATTATAATTTCAATGATTCTTTTTAAAACTGAACACAACTACTGACATTCAGAAACACTTGTATCACATACTCTATGATGACAATACTAGAGTAGTGATAATAGTTAAAAATACCTTACACAAGTCTCCTCAAGGCAGTGGACACTAAACGCTTTCAGAGTTTAATACATTTACTTTGTCTGTATGAATCGAGATTTGACTTGGCTTATGAAGATAAATGTGTTTTTAAATGATGATGCCAAAACTGCTTCAGAACATTAGGCAAGGGAAATACATTTCAAAGACAACAAAGTAACCAGTCATTCATTTCTGTCACTCATCCCTCTCAGGACATAGATTCTTCAGACAGTTCTTTCCTGTTTTTCCATTTCTCTCATTCCTGTCTTGACAGTAAGACTATAAAGAGCTGGTAGTTATGTGATTGTGTTCTTATTACAAAGATGAGCCAGGAGATTTGAGATAAAAGTTTTATGGAGAGATCAGACCAAGACAAAGTTTTATAAAAGTAACAGAAAGCTGAATGTCTGGTGAAAGTGAAAGATAAAGGTGATGAGGAAGATGAAGGTGTGGTGGGAGTTGAAGATTAAGATGAAGATGTGGTGACAGTTGAGGGTGAGGAGGAAGATGAAGGTCTGGTGAGAGTTGAAGGTGAGGAGGAAGATGAAGGTGTGGTGAGAGTTGAGGGTGAGGAGGAAGATGAAGGTGTGGTGTGAGGAGGAAGATAAAGGTGTGGTGAGAATTGAAGATGAAGAGGAAGATGAAGATGTGGTGACAGTTGAGGGTGAGGAGGAAGACAAGTGTGGTGATAGTTGAGGGTGAGGAAGATGAAGGTGTGGTGACCGTTGAAGGTGAGGAAGAAGATGAAGGTGTGGTGACAGTTGAAGATGAAGGTGTGATGAAGGAAAGGAAGTGCAGATGCTCTAGAGAGCAGCACCTCATCAGTAAGAGTGGTGGAGGCAGTGTCCTGGCCTGGGCCTGGAACTGGCTCTCCTCTTGACTGATGATGAAGGAATGGATTCTGACAGTGACACAAACATCAGGTCTGCTGATGGAGCAGAAAACCCTTCAGTATTTCTAGAGTTGAGCTCCTTCATGCAGGATCACAGTGACCCAGAGCACAGATGGAGATCAGAGCAGAAGACTCTTGGACTGAACAAGACTGAAATCCAGTAGATCCTGAAGTCTCCCACCCCAGGAAACAGCAAGAACTGCAGGCAGCTGAAGCAGAGGCTTGCAGAGCAGCTCAGTGATCACATACAGAGCTGGGGGAGCTCATGGGTCACAGACTTCATACAGGTCTAGTCTCAGAGGGATCTGCAGCCACACTCTGACTTCACTCTCTGACACTGACTTCATGAAAGTGTCATGAGTATGTACAGTACACATGGTCACAAGAAACCACTTGGTTGAGTACAGAGTATGAATTTACTCTTCAGTATGTATTTACTAGAATGTGCTTGGTTATGGACTTCCATAACCAAGCCCTTAGAACACACTCTTTTTTCATTAACAGAGGATACCCCACCCATGTTATTTATAGGGCCTCCTGTGCCCTCGGACCATCAACCCAATTTGGAACTTCCAGACTCACAACCACATTCCCTTGGTGCTTCCCTATCACTCTAACACCCTTTCTGTCCCCAGGGCTATTAATGGTAACTTTCCCATCCTACAGGATGATCCCTCCATCAGTACCCTTTTTTCTGACCACCCCATCATCTCATATCGCCGACCACTTTATCTGTAACCTTCTTGTTCACAGCTCCCTTAACCGCCCACAGCAATCATCCCCACCAGGCACTTTCCCCTGTAACAGAACTTGCTGCCTCACTTGTAAATATATATCCCATAGCACGCACATTAAAGGCCCCTCTGGACAATTCCGGATTACTTAGATGACATCTTGTACCTCCAGCAACCTTATTTACTGCATCTCTTTCAGAAAATACCCAGCTATGTGCATTGATGAGACAGGAAGGAGAATGGGAGACCATTTCATGGAACATGTTCAGGCTGTCTCTAGGCTCTCATAGCCCATAGTTTCCCATTTCACCTCTAGTGGTCATGATCATACTGATCCCTCTGATCCCACACATGATCCCATACTGATCCCTGATGCATTCTAACAGAGAGCCTTTTAGAACTCCTATTGTAGAAAGACAAAATCCTAAAAGAAAATTATCCTGAAACGAGGATCACACCTTCCCCCGTCTCTCAACGAAATTTGTTTCCTTCTAATCCTCTCTTTTATTTTTCAGGTTTTGACTTCACTCCTCTACACCTCTCTTAACTTCACACCACCGTAGTGTCGATACTGCTTCTCTCCTGCTCCCGACTCCTGTCCCGGCTTTTGATATGTTGTTTTGTTCTCCCCTGCTTCATCAACTGCCAGTTTTCCTCTCTCTCCCACAGCCAAAATATTGTCTCTCTTTTCTTTTCAGCATGGAATAAACCTTTACTTGTTCCTTTGCAGCCTGCGCATGCTGACACAGCAACCTACTTGAGTATGAATTTATTCTGTTATGATCAAATATTAGCAGGAAATTACCAAAGAATTAAACATACAGTACTCAGTGTTTATATACTTGAGCATGATTGGTTCATACTCATAATCATTTATGCAACTTTTTTGAACGTAGAGCAAAAATAACTACTTGACTTTGCTGTCCCAATACTTTTGGAAGACCCTGTAAGGTTAGTAGTTTCAAAAGATAGTAAGTAGAATTAGATGTCACTGTTCCAGCTGCGTCACAAGTGGATATTAATAAGGACAGAGAGGAGCCCCTGGCCAAACAGGATCAGCCAGTGTGGGTAAGAAGGGAAAGTGTGGAAGGTGGTGTAAAATTCCACGACAGTGGTTTGTGAAGAGCAGCACCTGGGAAAACAGAGCAAAGAGTAAAGTTGAAAGAGAAGAGCTAACTGAGTTTAAATAACTTATATTAATGAAAAGTGACAAGTGTAATGAAGACTGTGATTGGGTATCACAGGGTGAATCTTATTGAATTCAGTGTCTGGTTACATTAGTGATTAATGAAGATAAAGAAGAGTTAGTGGAAAGGTCTGATCGATTGAAACATATAGAGAAGAGAAACGTAAGACCATGCAGACTCCCCCGAGAGAAGACCAGTGAATCACCCAGTAGGCTGGAGTGTCTGACTGTGAGATTGAACACAGAGCACTAAAAACACAGAACACTAAGGTGACATGTCGGCAGTCTTTAATGTGCTGGTGTTGCCACAGGAACACTTGAACTGAATAGAAGAATATTAACTAAAATATTTTTTCACCTTAAATACTTTATAATTTTTCCAATGATTAAGAAAAGTAAAAGTCTCACAGGCATAAGTGGACGGATAATAATGTTTACTTACTGGTTTTAAGAATTAAATCCGTTGCGAGTGCAGTTGAATTCACTAAAGGCAATGCAAAGTACCAAAAAATAAAGATCCGTAGTAAAACATCTGAAATGCAGAAAGATGTTGTTATTGAAGAGTGTCTGAGCAAATGGGTTTTACAGGATGAGCCCAGATGAGGAGTGTAGAACACAGTGAGAACAGCAGGGAGGGGTGGAGGAGAACAGGACAGATGAGCCAGATGTGTCACAGGGTCAGTCTGAAGGAGGACATGAGGGGCTCTGGGACACTAAGCAGCAGGAAGTCAGAATGTGAACTGAAACTGCAACATTCACACACAACTACTTAGAAGAAGCACTCAGTAATGCACAAAATTAGAATATACACTGTCCTACCATATTTATCTTTCTCTGTAAACACTTAAATAATTTCTACTGTACCATCTACATCTTTGTCTTCCGTTGTAAAGACTGTCCCAACAGCCAGAATCCAGAGAAACAGGACTTCACACATGAGTCCAGGTCCCCCTGTAATCATAATTAATAATCACTGTAATTACCTGAGAGTCACAGCAGGTGAGCATCAGAGTATCTTTCCAAGGAAAACGCAATTTCACACTGACAATTTCAGCTGACATTACCTGAAAAAATAAAACTGTTTCCCATTCCTTGGTGTTGAAGGTTTAACAGTACAACACCTAATCCACTTGCAAAACATGTAATAAACATGTCCTCATCATTAAGAGCAAAAAGAAGAAAACAGACTGGGCATGAAACTTTTAGAAAACAGTAGGAATATCAAAAGGATGGGATCATCACAGAAGTGCAGCATGTTACAGGGAAAGGACTTTATATTATGAACAAACAGCTGAAATTGGGCCAGATGTCAAAACTAGAAGGGCATACACAGTATATATATATAAACTCGTAAGAGGATGAAAGTGTCACCGAAGTTCAAATACAATTGAAAGCTGGGTTTCCTCAAAGCACCATATAAACTGACAAATCTGATTTTTTTTTATTTGTACAAATTTTATTGATAGAAATGCATGTGCCGTGTGTTAATTATATGAAGTGATTAATATCCAGATGTGATCTTAATTCTATGAACTACATCAATTACTTTAAAACAGACAACAGCAGAGTCACAGTGCCCACCTGGTGCACCAGCAGGATGTGGTGGTTAACATCTATGCCTTCCATGTAATGAGTTAGTAGGATTTAGTCAGATTTGGTCTGGCCTCTTTCCTGGGCCAACTTGCCAGAACACAAGAACTACTGTACACTTACAATCAACAAGCCTTTAGCAGGTTATCAATATTTTTAATTGATATTATATAAATAACATTTAAAGGGAGTAAATTCCAAAATCCCTATGAAACATCATTATTGATATACTGATATACTATACTGTACAGTATATCATGTCATGGGGGTTTTGTTATTCTGAATCCCCTATCCAATATTTTCAGTTCCGGGAGGGAGAGTCCGTGTGAGCGCAATGCATGAGGTTTAAAAAGCTAAGCATGAGTGTCAAAATTGACATCTTTGTTTCAGTTCAAATAAGCTTTGAATAAAATGAGCAGTCCCAATGCCCATTTAGTCCAGCTGCAGGATCTGTGTCTCTTTAGAACACAGGTGTTGCTCAAGCAGTTGAGCAAAAACAGGAAACGATTACAGGACTGCCACAAAAAATACCACCAGAGTTTTGCACCTCTGTATTTGTCAAAGCAAAAATCCAATAATTCTTTCTTTCAATGTGTTTTTTACACATTATTGTGCTTTGCGGTGCGATCTGATCATAGTGCTATTCAGCCTGTATCTGGAGAGGTTTTCTTTATTATTGACACTGCAGAGGAACGTAGGCTTGTTAGGAAAATCAATATTAGTGAAAGTGCAGGTCCAGATAGTGTGTGTGGTAGGGTCCTACAATCTTGTGCAGATCAGCTTTGCGATATGTTTAGTTTTCTTTTCCAGATGTCCTTAAACTTACAGATCATTCCCTCTCTGTGGCAGAAATCCATCATTATTCCTGGTCCTAAAACTGCCCAGCCTACAGGCCGGTTGCCCTCACATCTCTCCCAGTGAAAGCTCTTGAGAGAATAGTGAAGCAGCACATCACAAAGAGCACACAAGCCCTCATCGACCCCCTGCAGTTTGCACACAGGGACAGGAGGGGAGTAGACGATGCAAAACACACATTAAATCTGGTCTATCAACACCTGGACCAACCAGGGACCTTTGTAAGGATTTTATTTGCTGACTTCTCCTCTGCTTTCAACACAATACAACCACTGTTGCTTGCACAGAAACTCTCAAAGTATTGTACTTCAGTCTGAATGAGAACTTGATAAGCTGGGTGCTAGACTTCCTAACTAACAGGTCTCAACAGGTCAGACTGGGGAAGTGCTTATCTGACATTCGCTACACATCAAGTGGATCACCACAGGGCTGTCTTGTCCCCTCTGCTGTACATTTTATACACCAATGATTGCATAAGCAGACACACAGATAGACACCTCATGAAGTTTGCTGATGACACAGCCCTGGTCAGTTTATTAAAGGACACAGAATACCATCATGGGCCCATCCTTAATGATTTTACTAACTGGTGCAACGAGTTCTCCCTAAAGTTAAATATTTCACAAACGAAGGAACTGGTTATTGATTTTAGGAAAAAGACCACACCCCCTCAGCCCACTACAACTGATGGGCAGCCTGTTGAAATTGTCGATGACTATAAGTACTTGAGACTGGTCACTGACAAAAACCTAAAATGGGACAAATGTTGTGACACAATCTATAATAAAGGCCAACAGAGACTCTTCTTTCTTAGGAAACCCAGGTACTTTAAGGTAGATAAAACTATTCTTAAACTTTTCTACAAATCATTCCCTGAAAGTGTCTTCACATCCTGCTTCACTTGCTGGTGTGGCAACATGAGCACCAGTAACTGTAACAGGCTGGTCAATTAGGGAATATCAGGGGCAAAATAATCTGGAATAATCAAATCAACTGAAGTATCCTTTACAGACAGAGGGTGACTAAGAAAGCCAAAAGCATCAGGGAGTGTGTGTCTCACCCCTCCATTGTGAATTCACACTTCTCCCATCTGGGAGACGCCTCTGTGCCCCCAGGTGTAAAACCAGCAGACTCAGGAAATCTTTCATCCCCACTGTAATCACACTCTTCAACAACGCAAAGTGACTACCTTGTCTCTTCTTTCTTTTCTCCTGTAACACTGCTGTATTCTCTTCCCTTTGATGATGTGTATTTGTCATTGTGTTGTGTTTGACTGTGCTGGAAAACAAATTTCCCCTAGGGGACAATAAAGCTTGAAAATTGAAATCAAAAATTGAAATTGAAAATTGAAATAGCATAGTATACAGTGAAGTGAAAAAGAAAGAACACCCTCTTAAGAGTTGGTGGTTTTATGTATTAAGACATATCTGAAATTCATCTAGGCCTGAGCAGTAGTCCTAACAGTAGATAAATATAACCCCATGTGACAGATGACACACACAAACTTTACTGTGTCATTATTTATTGAATAATAAAGTCAGCCAACAACCAGAAGCCTTGTGTGAAAAAGTGCATCCATATCAGTTAAGAAGGTAATTAGAATCAGGTGAGCTAAACAAGACCACATGATTAGTTGATCATCAGGAAGTGCTTCTACCAGTATATAAAATCAGGAACTTTGTCAGTGTGGTCTGGAGCATTCAGGTTTGTGGTAACACATCACGTCAAAAGATGTGACAGAGAAAGAATTGCTGTTGCTCATCAGTCTGGGAAGGATAATGAAGCCAATTCCAATCAATACAAGGTCCATCATTCCACAGTGAGAAAAGTAATTTACAAACGGAAAAAGCTCAAGACAGTTGCCAATCTACCGAGGAGCTGGCATTCCAGCAAACTCACCCCAAGATCAGACCTTGTGATACTCCTGTAGATCACAAAGAACCCCAAAACTACAGCATATCCAGGAATCTACAGGTCATTACAGTAGACGTTAGAGTTTGTGATTCTACCTTTAGGAAAAAACTCATCAAGAAAGACTGGGTAGCCAGGAGATAAAACCCTTATCCCAAAAAGAACATTGCTGCATGGCTTAGGTTTGCAAATCAGCACCTGAATGAACAAGAAAGACTTCTGGAACAATGTCCACTGGACAGATGAGACAATAGTGCAGTGGCTTGGCCATTATAATGCCTCTGTGCTCCTTCTTCCTGTTTACAAGGACGAGCTATAGAGCGCCACCTGCAGTATAGACCTTGCCCCCCCTACAGAGGATCATAGGATGTGATTGACCATCAATCTGTGAGATTCACAATATCCGCTGTCTCAATAAACCCAATTCCTCATTCAAGATCCCAACCAGCCCGGCCACAGACTGGTCTCCCCCTGCATTCTGAAGAGCAGTACCACACTATTAAAGCACAAACCACTAGATTTAAGAACAGCTTGTACCCTACTGCAGAGCGCATCCTCACTGCAATGCCTCAGACTCAATGCATGTCTGCACTGTGCACTTCTTGCACGGTCTACCATTGTTTTTTTAAGAACTTATTTACTATGTTTGTAATGAACTGTCTCCATTGTGTGCTGTTCTGTTGTGTTCTACTGTGCCGTCTTCTGTACTGTGTACAGTATTCCAGAGAGATCAGCGCGAATACGAATTCCAATGTACATGTACACATGGCAAGAAACTCCTGTACTCTGCGGCTACTGACTACTACTGATCGGGCCTGCTGTACAGCCTCAGGACCTGAACGCCTCACAGTCATTGAATCCCTCTCTATGCCAGCGCATTCTAGAGGACAATGTGAGACAAACTTTCCAACTGCTAAAGCGCAGCCAAAAGTGGATCAAGCAACAGAACAATGATCCAAAACACACCAGCAAATCCACGACTGAATGTCTGAAAGAAAAAATCCTGATTTTGGAATAGCAAAGTCAAAAGCGCAGTGGGCCAGATTACCTCCCAGGCAATGTGAGAGACTGATAAACTCTTACAGGAAACATTTACTTCATGTGATTGCTGCTGAAGGTTTTACTGTGCACATGTTACTGAACCAGGGGGTGAATTACTGTTTCACACAAGGCTTTGGGATGTTGGCTGACTTTTTTATTCAATAAGGACACAGTAAAACTGGTGTGTGTTATCTGTCACATGAGATTAGATTTATCTACTGCAGGACTTGAGGAGGACTACAGTAGATGAAGGTCAGATATGCCCTGATATGTAAAACCACAGAATCAGTTCTTTTTCACATCACTGTTTTGTTACAGCTGCAGGGGACTAGGAAGTATCCCTAAGAGTTTAGATAAAGCTGGCAACACCAAGCAGTGTAAACACATCCAGCTTCAAAGCAGGGGGGATGTTTTCTGAGATGTAAAGGGTCTCCTGATCTAAACCAATTGGAAAGTTTACATTGGTTCACCTAGTTAAGTAAGTTGTGAGTAAGCGATTGTCAGTGAGCTGTCCAGAAAGACACCATATAAGATCACAAGAAAAAAAAGAAAGAAGGAGAGGGAGAGAAGAGAAAGAGAAGACAAGAAGAGAGGAGAGAAAGAAGTTCAGCCGACAAGAGAGGAGTCAGGAGGAGTTGAAGCGTGCGCCAGGCGAGAGCCCCTACTTCATGATCATCCAAACCAAACATGACTGGAGCCAAGTACTTGAACCTTGCTAGAGAGAACGTGCTTTTCTGTGTTTTTTTCAATCAACTGGGGTTTCCTGAGTGAAAGATACCTCAGTTACAGATGTCTTTCTGCTTAGTGTGCATTTTTATGGATACGGATATAGGCTCCCATATATCGTGTGGCACCCGAGTTTGGAGAGAGAGATTAAACTGCAGGTTGTATTGCATTTATTAAGAAGACAGCTTATCTCTTATTTTGGCCTCTGTAGGTATTGTTTAAGAGTTAAGTACTTAGTAGATCCCTGGGGGGTTTCTGGGTGATGAGGATATTAGGCCTCTGAAATGCCTTGTCTGTAAATACTGTACACAGTATGTCTGTAACTAGTGTGTTGTCTGTTTTGTTGTGTGTAGTACAGTTTGTGTCTTGTCATTCTATTAAATATTTGTTTTAAAGAAGTGTGCCTGGATTATTACTCCTCTCACCAAAGCTGTGCAAGAGAACAAAGAGCTCACGTGCCCCTAGTTATACCAGCCGCTCGGTATATTGCTAGAAATCATTAACAAGTTGGGGGTAATGAATATTTATTTTACTTATTAACTAACCTGCTTGGTTGCTCCTGATATTCACCATTTTCGTTACCCTCCATTTGTAACAGTATGTACGCCCTGGGGTAACTTTAACTTCGGGGTCCACGTTCCCCTGATGAGGGGCAGTGTACAGCACCACTCTCGGAGGAATGCGCATGTAACAGTAGGAGAAAAGAAAAGAGAAGTTTCCTAAACAGGCTTTGAGGGGCGTGTCTGGATCAGTGCACATGGCTGTTTTGTGTCCTAAAGTGATGGCCCCCATACCCCATGGCATCACACTGTGCATGAGCATTAATATGAGAGAGTTACATTATTATGTTAGAACTAAACTGTGATGCTATGTTACACTTGAGACAACTCTGGGCTGGTGCAGCAGACATACTGCAGAGAAATCCGATGTACTAATGAGTGACTTAGTGTTTGCATCCAGCTTGTAAGACCTTGACTTACATCCTCTCTAGGCCTGGAGCATTACTTGAGTCCTTTCCTCACAGCAGCTGAAGAGCCGCACAGGGGCTGGGCTGTGAACGTGCTGTCAGTGGGGCTCAGAGGAGTGGGGGGCCTGTTTGCTCAGGACAGTGGAAACGCTGGGGTGTGAGTGCAGCATGATGACATGCCCACAGGATGTCCTGATTCACATAAAACACATCTGTCTGAACTGACAGGTGGGCACACAGGAGGTCAGCTGTTGTCAAAACCTGCAGACTGTCACACACTCGCCCCTGTACATACCTCTGAGAGTGTCCAGGACACTGGCCAGATACAGCAAGCTCAACACGAACAGAAGCATGGAGAAAATCCCAACTGCAGCTTTCTGACAGAACTCTGAAAGAGTAAAACATGCATTTGAATAATGTAACAGCACTGCTGCATCTTCCACATTACACCTCTTTCTTCCTGAGACACATCACCTGTGGTCTCAGCTTTTCGTCCCTTCTAATTAATGCCCTCTGTAGTAAGCAGTGTTCTCTGGACATGCCCAACTGCCTTCTGGGACTGTGGGTGTTCTCTTGTGCTGACGTTTGTTTGGCAAACTGCACAGGTGGAAGTTCAGGGGTGTGTTTAGTTTTGTGAATGATGCCAGACTGTATTTTTTTAATCGGTGCTGCTTATGCCTCTACAGGCATCTTTGTCACTGATAACTGATGAAAAAACCTGACGTTGGTTCAGCACAGTCAGGGTTTTATCAACATCATTTTTGCCTCTTGAAATGTCGAGGGTCTTGGTCACATGATAAAGAGGGATAACATATTTCCACACCTAAAAGCATTAGTAGATTATCTGTCATATAAAAGCAATGGAAAAGAGGTGTTTGAGAGCAAACTGGATATCTCAGGTTCATCTCCAAAGCCAGAAATATGGCAATCATTTTTTAGAAAACTATTCAGTTTAAACTTATTCCTATGGTGTCACGCCCTCTGCAGCCAGAGGGCGCTCCTTCTCTGTCCTGTCCCTAGTTTCCGGTCTGCTGTCCTTCCTGTCCCTCTCTTTCCCTTGGGCTATTTATTTCCGGGTCTTGCACTCTGTCCTGGCTCAGCATTGACGTTCGGATGTCCTGAGACCTGCCTAGCACCAGGGCGCCCCACGTCCGCTCCCTGAGGGCATAGGTTTCTATACGGCATTCCTTAACTCTTTGCACTAATGAGCCCGGGCCTTTTTCCCGTTCCACCGCTACACATATGGGTCTTTTTCTGCTCTCCTGCTCCCCACGGTTAGTCCCCTTGGACGTCCGTGACATATGGATGGTGATCTGGTGATCTGGTGGAGATACATCAATTCATTTCCAGTCACCCTTCTGTTATAATGACTATTAAAGTATCTTTAAGGATCCAGATGCAATGGTCAGTACCTGGATATTGTCAACAGTTCTTTTTCTTGGGGGCTTCAAAGCAAGATGTTAGGAAAGCAAGGAATCCTAATTCCTTTTTATTGCCTGTATCTTTTTCATAGATATCATCTTCACATTCTGCATCGTTGTACTGTATATCCAAGTTAATATTTGGTTACCTGCCTACAATACCCTGCAACTTGCCTACATTAAACATCTGCCAAGTGTTCGCCCACTTGTACTGAAGTTTGGAGTTTCTGGAGTCCAGATCAGCCAGATGTGACTTTCAGGAATCCTGAGCTTCACTGACCAGTGATGGATCAGGTAAGTCTGGACTCATCCTTCATACTTCACACATTGTCACAGATACTGAATTCACAAGAGAGCCCTCTGTCAGCGCTCCGCCACACAGGGCCTCTGCCTCTCGTGTCTCTGTGCAGTAACACTGGTGCAAGCTTACAGGTTGATGAGGGCTATCTGGGGAGCAGAGAGTTTAAATGTGCTCAGAGAAAGAGGACAGGAGAAATGAGACATCAAGTGAATTATTATGATGGCACTATGAGATCAGTATTAGCGATTCCCTTGACTTTTTGTAGTTAGAGAGTCTCTCCATGGCGGAGGGTTAGTTATTGTCACAGTGGATCTGGACTCATCAGAATCCTGTGAATCTGTATTTACAGCACAGTCATCACTGTTCCTACTCACCTCCCCACAGTCCCCGGTCTGAACAGATCCTCTGAAGTGTCAGAGACACCACCAGGGCAATAAGAGCTACAATCAGTCCAGTTAGATAACCTGGGAACAGAAGAGTGGATCAGGAAGGGCAGATCTTTTAAAGAACATGCAGGACTGTGCACAAAAGAGTTGGAGAAACACACAGTTTCTTTAAGCCCTGTGGAAAATGGACTTAGAACAACAGATGCTGACAGTTAAAAATCACACATGTACAGTCACTTCAGTTTAAAGTGACTTCAGTTTAAACTGTAAACAACGTGAGGCTGGAAAGTGTAGCTGCTTCTATCACCATGCTGGTCTGTGTGGGTTTGTGCTCAGCACACCAGGTCCTTTACAGGAGAACGGGCAGAGAGTCCAGCCATCATGGTCTCAAGTCTTGGTTTGTCAAAATATGGGCTGAAGCAGGATTACAGAGAATTCTCCAAATTACAGACATCACTGCCAATTTTGGCAGCTGTACCTGCAAGTGAGCAGCCATTTTGAGGGTTTGATCCATTCACTCCTTGTGAGGAGAGGTTAGAAAAGCTGTTCTAATATAACATCAGGCACATATATCATATTACTGATATATAGTGTATATACTGAACAGAAGTACTTACCCACTGTGAACATTTGTGTGGAAGCTCTGAAAAGGATGAAGACAACAATGCTGCTAACTGAACAAGTGAAGGAAGCTGCAGCAGAAAGAGAACAAAGCAGGTACAGTATCTGTTAGTGCCACACAGTCCCTCTCCCCTGCTATCTTCACCTATAGTGGGCTACCACCCTCCAGCTCTCCCTGGCTCAGTGCCTCTGACAGTACAGGTGTCTGCACACAGCAGAGACCAGAGTCCACACATCGCTGTCCAGGCCTGTGGGAGGGACAGCAGAGTCCCCACCCTGTAGTGTGACCTGGCCTGGTCAGCATCGGGCGGAGACACCTCTATGGATATAAAGCTGTTACTGTAAGTGATGCTTGAGGACCAGTAGGTGGTGCTCTCCTCAGAACAACAATTTCTAATCTCTAAAGTAATTCAATTCAATTCAAGGTGCTTTATTAGCATGACCGATGGGTACAATCAGTGTTGCCAAGGCAAATAAAGTAATGATATTTACATTAAACACAACAAAAGATAAAAGTAAAATAAAATCTACAGACATTTACAACAAACACATATTATAAAATATTGACATATACTGTAGGAGGATGGAGCATTATTGGGAGACAGACTCACTGTTCCTCAGGCTGTGACAGGAGATCACATACTGGGCTGCCAGTTCTCTCCTCCCTCTCCCAGTAGGATTGGGACCCATTGTGATTCTGGCAGGTGTGGGAACTCTGGGATTAGATTTCTGAATTTCGGGAAGAATGTTTCTCTAATCCCAGAGTATCTGTCACAGTGCAGTAGGAAGTGCACCTCTGTCTCTATTTCTCCCCGCTGGCAGTGGGAGCACAGCCTGGCCTCTCTGGGCAGCCAGGTCTGCCTGTGTCGCCCAGTTTCTATGGCCAGTCTGTGGTCACTGCGCCTGTACTTGTCAGGGTCTGTTTCTGTTTGTTGTTTCTTATCTTGGTCAAATATTTGGCTAGTGTGTATTGTCTGTTTAGGGTTCTGTAGCATTCCAGTTTATGTTGTGTAACTGTGTGTGTGTGTCCCAGTGTGTGAGATATTGCTGTTTGACCTGTGCTGTGATGTGGTTGAGTCTGAGTTGTGGTGCTCTCGCAGTGCTGTCCTGATGCTGGTCAGTGTCGGTGTTCCTCACTGTAGAGACAGGGGGCAGTATAGGGAATATCCCCTTTGGATAAGATATTAAACCTGCTGGAGGGACCCATTAGTCTAAATAAAGCAATAATTATTGTTCTCCCTGGTAGATTTTCAATAATATTCCATTTGAAACACAACATGGTCACCTCAGTGTCTATCTGCTGGCATCTCTTCCTCATCCCAGTTAATGTGGGATTTCTCTCCCATGTCTGCAGCACAGACCAGTGAGGGATATCAAGGGCAGTACAACCTGCAGCACCATCAATAATAAAACTCCAGTGTCTTCTGTGTCTCCTGCAGGACCTCAGATCTCTACAGTCTGGTGGGAAGTTGACCCAGTGGAAACAGAGAAGTTGGTCACATGATGTCAGTCTCCAGGACTCGAGAGCTGGTCCTCACTGATCTGAGACAGCAGGGCTGGAGGGTGTCACAGGCAGATACGAACCCTCTGTCTCAGACAGCCTGTTATACTGCAGGTTGTGTTACTGGGAGACGGGCAGCCTCACAGTGTGACAGTGCACCTGTAGCTGGTCTCAGTCTCAGTGGTGGTGTTCAGGATGGGGCTGGATTCTGCTTTGTGCTGTCAGTGATACAAATCAGGCTTCAGCATCATCTTTCAACTCATGAAAGCAGGACCATCTTCCTTTGGAAGGGTTTTACAGATGTATTGATTCAGTATAAAGACGTGTTGTTAACTGTTTCTCAGTACTGTTCCTGTCCACATCACTCTGCAGGAACATTTTGCTGCACATGATTCAGGATGTAAGAGACTTTCTCTCACTGTCTGGTGTTTCTATTTTGTGTGTCTCAGGTTCTGCTTGGCCCTGCAGTGTCTCCTGTGTCACACACTGAGGTAAGAAGACCATACCTGTACTGCTGATGCTTTGAGAAGATTCCCTCTGCTCTGAATTGCTTTGAGAAGTTTTCCTCCATATGAAATACACTGAAAACAGAACAAAAAGACATTTAGACACTGAAACAAGTGTGGAACCATCTAACTAAATTTAAAACACCGATTTTTAAAATTGTGATATTGTGAAGAAGTACTAAAACTCAACAGACTGTGTTCAGGAGGGATTTGTGAATATAAATGATGACATCCCTTCCTGAAACACTGCACTGTAAACACTCTCATCTTCCTGCACCCCTCCTCTACCTCAGCTCTGCTCTGCAGCTGCCCATCGGATGACATCACTTCCTGCAGGAGGGCCCTGAGGTGCAGGTGCCTCTGGGAGCTGCCTGAGCCCCTGCACTGGTCTGAGCCACGTTTGTGCCTCTGAAAGGAGTGTTTGTGCTGCTCTCCCTCCTCAGAAAGTGCGCCCTCGATCTTCGGGGAGCGACGTCACTGAGCCTCTGAAGTTGTGTCCCCACAAACAGCAAAAACAATTTCCCGAAAATGTAGTTTAGATTTAAATCTTGTATAGCCAAACGCCTGGCTGTGATACAGAGGTTTTAGGACTGCGGTATATAGTGTCTGAATTTCCTGACTGGTCACTGCTCTCTGGTGTTTGTCCAGACTATACGACTGGTATATAAATGTAGCTGTGATAGGTACCACCTCTTCATTGACCATGATTTTACCTCATTTCAGGACTCAGTGACCTAGAAGCTCTAAGAGACTGTCAGGCATTTCCTGATGCCAGTACAGATGTTGGGCACGTATTGTACATATATTCCCATAAACAAGTGGCTCAGAGAAAAGTCATTCTTTCTAAAATTGTTTTATTCTACATTTTGACTCATGAAAGCCTTGTATGTTCACTCAGAACTGTTGAAATATTATTGTCTACGTCTGTGAGGTGGCAGCATTTACCCAGTAAAGTAAACAGTGACAGTACACAGCAGGGCACCAGGATGGAAATACTCTATATTCCACTATGTGCTTTTCTATGTTTAAGCATTAAGATACGCCAGATAAATATTTTTCAGAAAATGAAAGCGTTAAACTTCCTTCATCTTTTTTCAAAAAGGATAAGCAGATATCTCTCTCACTGAGGTTAAAGTTTTTTTTTAATTTTCTAATTCTCACAGGTTTGAGTGCACAGCTCTCACGTCAAATGGAGAAGATCTCTGCCCCTGGACAGAGGAGGAGGCAGAGTGGGCATGAAAACTAGCTGAAGCAACAATTCCCTTTCAACTCCACAGGCTGAGTGATGTTGTTCCCTGGAGAGCAGGGCACCAGGACAGACATACTGTATATTCCACTAGCCTGGAGAGAGAGGGCACTTTTTCCCAGGAAGGAAAGCAGCACAAACACTTTTAGTGGCACAAACTGGCAGAAAAGTAACTGAAATAAATCTGGTGAGAGTCATTGTCTGTGCTGCTAGTAAGCCAAGAGGGTTCAAATATCTTAGGTCTAACTCCTCAATAATTAAATACTCTTAAACATTATTCCTTGTGAATCAGTAATTATACAAAGCATGGAAATCTATTCCTGAGCTTAGTTTCCCTTTCATATGTGTCACGGATGTCAGAAAGGACAAACCGTGGAATGGCAGGAGAGCATAAAAGTCTCTTTGTGTAGCGGTGAGATTAGGGGGTTAGCCCGGACTCAGCTGTTCAGGAGAGAAACCTATGCCCTCAGGCCACAGACAGGAGCGACCTGGTACTCGGCGGGTCTCAGGGCATCCAAACCTCAATGCTGAGCGAGTAGCAGAGCAGAAGCAGGAAATAAATAGGCTACACAACAAGACACAGCAGAAAGACATGAATAATCACAGGGAACTAGGAACAGGAGGAAAGCAGAGCACCCTCTAGGTGTACTGGGAGTGACAATATTTTAGTTTACACAACACTACATCAGTAAGAGATCTAGTTGCTCCCTGTGATTCTCTAGAAATTCTTGTGAGAGTCCTAATCCTTCCTAGTGAAGTCTGCTCTCCTCCCTCTATGTCCATCACTTTGTTTGATATGTTCTGGAACTCAGACCTATAACACACTTCTTCACACTGAATAAGACTCAATCTCTCCCTCCTGGATCTGAGAAAGCAGCTGTTCTTACCTTTAATAAAAACCCCGCAGAGAGAGGAGAGCAGTGATGAGGTACAGGCCAGTCCAATACCTGCTGTGACAGCTGTGTCTGGTGTGTGGCTCTTGAAATACTCCCACAGAGCAACTGGGAACACAGGGAAAACAGAAGAGAAACAAAAACATCTTCCCCTTCATTTCCTCTGACTCATTGACTTCATTTAGTAAATTTAGTGACTCAACCCCTGTCTCTGAGCTTTCTATGACCTGCTAGTGTCACTGTGAAGACATCACTCCATTACTACACCAGGGTAACAGGGAAGGCTGTGTGTATATACAGAAGAACACTATGAACAATTCACACATTTCTCCTAATAGATGTAGTGTCACAGGAATAAAAAGGGACACAATCATGACAACAAGCTTACAGGGTGTGAGCTATTGTGCTGTATTGCATTGTTTATATACTATGAGTTTGATTTTAATGTTTAAACTACAACATGGCACTGTAACTGTTTTGTAACAGCAGTAATACACTGGCTTTATAAGTGAACAGGAACACAGGACCAGTCCACTAACAGGGCCTGTCCAGCTGGTTACAGACTGAATACTCCTGGTCTGACTGTATACTGGCCCTGAGAATCACATCACACTCACACACTGGAGCAAAGACAGGGAGCTCAGCAGCCACTATACAGGACCTCAAACATGTGTGTGTCTATTACTGTAAATACAAGAGTTAACAGCTAATACTTCTCCGAAAACAGAAATAGAAACAATCAGTTTTAATTTTACTTACCAGACCACATCACTGTTATCACAACAAAATGAATTATTGAGAAACTGATGGAAACTGATTTCTCCACTGGAAAAAACAGACACAAACATGTGAATTGGACACCACTCCTCAACACTGTCACTGAATTATAATTTTAACCAGCTTCTGTTAAAAACCACTACATTTCACACACTGCTTTCATCACTCTGTGAACTCTGACTCTCCATGCTGAAGGAGAGGAACTTCACCTCAGTCCAGACCCTCATGGTGTGATCGAACACACTCAGACTGCAGCTGAGCTGATGGCCAGGAGTCACCAGACTCACTGATTCTGTGGTCTAGTTCTACTGCTGAGGCGCTTGGTTCAGTTCAGTCATGGCAAGACAGCAGCAGGGATCAGAGAGGGAAAAGCAGACATATTCCCCACCCTGAGGTTCTCCAGAGATCACAGCAGCACAACAGATACTGTCAGTATCATTCACAGATACACTCTCATAATGAGTACTTAGTCAGTCTAAAGGAAAGATCATGATTCAGGATCTGAGTGAAACTGAAATGAAAAACTGCACTGTGTATTTCTGGAGATCCAGCTACAGGGACAAGGAGATGAATAAAGACCCAGAAACATTCCTCTGCAGTGTGTTTACAGTGAGTTACAAAAGTTAAACACTTTTTAGCCAGAACCACCCAGCAGCAGTTAAGAATGATTTAGAGATGGAGCTCCTTTAATACTCTGGGGTTTGAACATGAGCTCCCCCTGCTGGCAGATGCTGGTATAGAAGTCTCAGGACCAGAACTGGCAAATGACAGAAGAGCAAGAGTTACAACTGGTCCTTGAGGGCAGCAGGGCTCTCTGGTTAGCAGTGCACCACTGATTTTAATGGGTGCAAAAACAATGTTACACTGAGCTGTGACCAGACTGAGGTTATGATCTTTTAGAAAATACAGAAATATATACTTTGTACTGTATGTTTATTGGTTAGCTTTAAAATGTGTACATTTTATAGAGTAAAGTTTATAGAGAAGTTGAGCTCACAAAGCTGGTGACTGATGGTGCTGAAATCAAACCCCTGATCACAGTTAGAATCCCTCATGTTCCCTCTGACCCTGAGTTGTCATTTGATGTTCAGGTTAGTAATGTCACAGCGACATAACTCTTGCAGATTAGTAACACTGCTCAGCTAAGACCCTTACTAACAGTGAAATAGTTAAGTCTGACACTGAAATATTAACAATTCTTTATACAGCCATTCATGTACAAACTAAAAGTACTCTGTTTCAGCACAAAACTAATCTCAGTTTCCATGTTGTGTGAACTGTACTGGCTGCCACTGACATCCACAGTGAGACAGGTTACTGTGCCTTCCTTATTCTGGTCACAAAAATCATCTTTCTAGGAAAGTACCAGAAAAAAAAAATCTTTGTACTGGACCTTTTCTCTTTAGAACTTACCAGATTTTCTTTTAAATGGTACAATCCTCATCCACTTCCAATACCAATAACTCTTGCAATTGATCACTTCTTTCAAAGACCCTGCAAAACACATCACATCAGGAAACAACAGCAAACAGTAATTATTCCACAGAGTTAGTTCGGCAAATTCCTGCCTCAGATGAAATTCCAGCTTTGTGTCTTCCACCACAATTAAGTTAGTCTGGAAATCCTGCCTGATGTATTTTCATTGTTTGCTCATGACATCAAACATTAACACAGCCCATGGATGAGTTAAAATATGCATCGACTATAACATATTACAGTCTAGTTCTTAGGTTCTGTCAGTCCCATATAACCAAATCACATTATACTCTCAGACACAAGTAAATACGCACTTTCTATTGTGAACTAAACATAAAACATGTGTTTAAGAATAACGGCAGCTGCTCTGTGCTGGAGGAGAGAGAGGAAGAGGTTTTCCAGCCTAGCAGCTCAGACAGCTCTGCCAAGGTAGTGACTTTTTGACTTCGGTCTGTAGAAACAGTCTGTGCTCAGTTTGTCTTCTCGGGGTCCACAGAGTACACAAAAGGGGCACTCAGGTCGTTCCGTGCTTTAGCTTTTTGTTCAGAATAATCTGGATGTCGACAAAACGAAAGAGTCAAACTGTCTAATTTTGTTGATCAGGAAAAAATAACTGGGTTTCACGAACACACAATTTCTTTTGTTTCAGAAAACATATCTTGGGCAGAATGCTGTGCTTGACTGACTCATTCTCTTGGCCTGGTGTCTTGGAGAAAAGCTGAAGTCCTGCCTTGGACTGCTTGTAGCCATGTGGTTGTAAGATTGCCAGTAGAGAGCCAGTGGTTAACTGGGGAAAAATGACTTGTGTTCCAGTTTATATGGGGCAGCTCCACCAGCTGGTGATTGGCCGAGATGTTTGAGATGTTTGGTTCTGGTCCCCACCCTACAGATGCTCTGGGTGACTGACCATGGCCTGTGACTTTTAGATCAGGTCCAGATGTGCCATTGCTCTCTGCTAGACATCCAGGCACCAGCAGTGGACATCCAGCATGGGAGTTTAGATCATTACTGTCCTGGGAAGGATCGTTATCGAAAGGAAAGACTAATAGGACATTCCAGGTGCCAACATTGATCTTGATCTTTTTTGACCCCTCAAGTTGGTGCTGCCTTGGTTTTGGTGAGCCAGACAGGATGTTGTTAGGCAGACTATGTTTAGAGCACCTTCTCTTGTCCCATTCCCTGTCTGGAGTGAGCAGGGTGGTTCCTTTGGGACTGCTCAGTCACAGGCACAGCCAGAGACAGGATGCACTCCTGTCTGTTTCAAGCACATGACGATACTGTAGCTGCTACCTTGGTGCCAGAGGTCAGGGCTAGGGGCTTCCAGCTGCACAGATCTACCCTGCTTGCCACTAGCCAGCCGCCCAAGGGCTTGTGTGTTGGTAATGATATGTGTAAGTGATTAAAGATGGCACATAATTCCTGGAGGGTTCCTGTGCGTGAAGATATTTACTGTATGTGCAGTGTCTGTTGCGCTGGGCTTGGTCAATAGCAGAGCAAACACCCAGACGATTGAGAGACAGGTCCTGAAGGAGTATTCAGTGGCTCCTCCACCAATTGCCATCGACCATCTGTCCCACTGGACTGGGCCGTTGGCCACTTGGTTTCTGCCCAGGAGTTTCTGTAGGGATTTATTCCCTTATCCTCCTTCCTTCCAGATGCCCCAAGTTAGTGGGCAGCTTCACCATAGCCCCGCTAGCAGGTAATCCCACTGGCCTTTATGGTCTTGGTGGCAGAAGTCACCCTGTCCAGCAATCCTGTACTTTACCTGTTACCACTTCCCATGGTGAGGACTAGGGGCTGGATTTTGGGAGGCATATATCGCCTATTTAATCAGTGCACTGTGTATTTCTGGAGATTCAGGAAAAGGAGATTAATAAAGACCAAGAACCATTCCTCTTCAGTGTGTCAACAGTGAGTTAAAAAAATATAATCACTTTTTAACCAGAACCAGAACCACCCAGCTGCTCTCAGGTATGATCAGCTTGGAGCTCCTTTAGACTCTGGGGTTTGAGCATGAGCTCCCCCTGCTGGTGGTGCTGATTTTAATGGGTGCAAAACAAAATCTTAAACTGAACTGTGACCAGACTGAGGTTGTGGTTTTTACGAAAATATCAGGAAAATATACTGTACTTTGTACTGGATTTATAATTATTGGTTGGTCCTTAAATACCTACAAGCAACTCGAAAGGAAACCCCAAGATAACAATGTTTATGTATTTTATACAGTATGTACATAATATAAATTATGTACCAAAAAAACAAATATTGCAGATGCACCCTAGAAACAGTTCCCCACAGTGATTTAATATTTTCAGAACTTACCTACAATAGCTAGAAAAGTTAAATTCCTCAGTAGATTAACAGTCACACACATGATCACTTCTTCCAAAGACCCTGAAAGACAAGTCACATCAGGAGCCAAAAGCAAAGCAGTAGTGATTGCACACAATTAGCTCAGGATGAAATTAAAACTGTTCATTAGCAATCATGACTGATATTTTAATTGTTTGCCTTTGACAGTAAACATGAACAGCATGAACACAGCACACGTTACTGTCACTGCCTGCACAGAGAAACAGATTCTCAGATCTCTACAGCTCCTGACTTCAGAGCAGCTAATAGACGGGGCTGCACATGTTGAATGGGAGATTGATGTCTATTTCCTGAGACACTTTTTCTATCAATGTCATTTCTATAAGAAGTTAAAAATTTCTATAAGAATTAATGATATTTTTATCAGCCCTGATTCTGCCTGGAAAGACTAGTAATCAGTACAGCCCACAACATCCAGATAAGCAATAGGCAGAAGAGGACACTGCTCTGAGATTAAATGGACAAACTTACCTTCAATTACACCCCAGAGGATAAATGAAATAGACAATGAGGCACTAGGGACAATGATGAATGGCCAATATAACACATTAGAATCATCATCTAGATCTGAGAAAAGAGAAAACTTTAGTAAACGTTAGGAAAAAGAACATTCATATACAATATATATATTTACATATTAAGCTTTATTTATAAATTAACCAAAATTCTAATACTGAAGCTCTCCACTGTATACTCCAGCATTCGGAGAAGCCCGCATCCTTTTTTTGGACTTCAGCTGAGCATTCAGTACCATTAATCCACATAAATTATTCAGTAAACTGATGGACTTGAACATCAACCCTGCTATGTGTTGTTGGATTCTGGACTTTTAAACACACCGCCAACAGACCAGGGAAATCATCACTGACTTCCGACGCATCCAGAATACAAAACTTCCAATTTTCATTAATGATCTTCCTGATCTTCCTATAAAGACCACAAACTCCTTTAAATTTCTGGGCACATACAGTACATAAATGGTGATCTTAAATGGAGCACCAACACTGACCACATAGTCAAGAAAGCACAGAGAGGATGTTTGTTCATAGGCAGCTCAAAAAAACAGAGTGAACCGGAAACTCCTCTTTTAGTTCTACACAGCCATGATCCAAAGTGTTCGGACAACCTCTATTACAGAGCTGGGAAAACTACTCAGACTGAGAACTGGAAAGGATTGTGTCCAAAGCTGCAAGAATTGCTGGCTGTGAACCCCCTTCCTTTTCATCTCTACTCAAGCAGCACCTCCAGCCGTGCCAAGACAATCATCTCAGACCCCTCTCACCCAGCTCATAATCCCTTTCAGCTTCTCCCTTCTGGAAAACGTTTCAGATCCTTCCTCTCAATCCTTATTAATCCTTCCTCCTACCTCAACCTCAGCCTCTTTCCCACTGCCACACGAACTCTGAATTCACCTTGAACTCTGAATTCCACTGCTGCTACACGGAAAGGTTTTTACATGTGTATGTGACGATGTTTGTCTGTCTTCTGTGCTATTTACATTTGTACTGTATATGTTGTTTGGATCTCTCATCTGTGTTCTTTGCTGGACCGAAAGCAATTTCCACCAACTACTGTTGTGTGCCAATAAAGAATAAAGTAAGTAAAGCATTTTCTTCTACATACAAGAACCCCAAGGAAAAGCCTCCATAGAGCTTCTGGTTAATGTCACTGTGGTCTCCACAGAGCTACTGGGTGATGTCACTGTGGTCTCCAGCACATGAATGACAAAGGTGTCAACAGTAGAGAGAACTGGACAGCTGAACTGAGATCTAGTGTAGCTCAACTTAATTGTGGACCAGCAGGGGATTTACATTGTTCACTCTATAAACGTCAGAATAAAACAACTGTTATTGGGTGGAGAGATAACACAAGTGAATACAACTGATAAAATAATTTATAAATATACTTACCTAAACAATTATGTAAAAGAAGAATTATAATCCAAAGTACTGGTGCAGAAAAGGCCAAGACCAGTGTCCCCACATGTACTGATGAAAAACCTGAAGAGAAAAGAGAATTGATCACTGAGGAAGCTATATGTATTATATTACTTATTACTATATGTGGAACTCTAATCCCAATTTCTCAGACCAGCTATTAAATATGGCAACAAAATACATTAACTGACAGTATCACAAAACCTTAGAAATTCTTAACGAATCACAAAATTGTGAATTTTTTTAAAGTACTGTGTGGTCTCCATTTAGTTGCAAACCACTTGTCACACCACGGGTGAGAGGGTGAGTTCTCTTGAATTGTGATGTGAAGCGGCCCTTCCTGCTCACTAGTCTCTGTAATGATTGATGTAATGTGATGTATTGTGATGTATGAGTGAATAAGTACAGGTTGTGACGCAGACATTTCACTGCAAGAATGTTCCAACGTGATCTGCATACAGGGTCAACACGCAAAGTAGTATTTGTTGGCAAAACTGTCTCGAAGTCAAAAGAAATAAATAATTATCTTTGGTTCAAAGAGATGTATTCACAAGCCTGCTTGTTTTCAGTGTAATAGGGATGCAACACATCCCCAGAAGTTTTGTTGCCTCCTTCTGAATCACAGAATATGGCACTGTGTCTATTTTTTGTTAGTATTTCTAACTAGCTTTATTTAAACCCAGTTTCTGATAGAACCCCTCCTACAGGATATAGACTTCATCCTGTGTTTCTGTGTGGAAGTGGTTTGACTTACCCAGCTCTATCAGCTCTGCTGTAGCTTCTGCAGAC